TAAAACATTTACTGTAATAGTTAAAATATTTTAAGGAAGAAAAATATCCATCATCTCCCAGTGCAATGACTATAACTTCCTAGTTTTTTAAAATAATATTTTATATAATTGAGATCATACTCTGTACAGAACTTCCTTATTCTGCTTCTTCACATATTGAAAAAGCATTTCTAAGTGAGCATTTCTCCATGTTATTATAAACTCTTAGTTACTCTCAGGAAGCTCTAGAGGCCTAGGAGATAAGGAGTTGTGCTGCCAACCCAAAGGCAGGTGGTTCTAATCCATCAGCTGGTCTACAGGAGAAAGATGTGCCGTCTCCTTCCATATGTTTTACAGATTCTGAAAAACCCACTGGAGAGTCAGCTGTAAGGTAGGACTACCTCAGTGGCACATAAAAACAACAACAGTTACCCTCACATTTAATCGTTGCCTGACATTAAATTGTATGGCCATATATAATGAACACATACTGAAGCGTATCATTTCAAATATCAAATCTATTCTAAATAACACTGAAGTAGATATATTTTTGTAGGCTTTAGTCTTTAAAAATATTTTTAACTCTTATTTATAAATACAAATTATTACATAAATGCAAAAATAACACCAAAGGAAAAAGGAAATTGTATCAGTTCCAAAATACAGATATTACGGGAAAAAGCATATTTCAACGTTGTTTTTATAAAGCACAAATATTCTTGTGAATGAGATCACAGGAGTCTTGGATCTGGAGACCTATTACAGAGAAGCTCTTCCCTTACACACTTCACATTCTTTTTTAAGAGTAAGTTTTATCCTTCAGTATTGTCCACTGGCAACATGCTAAAGCAAACTTAAAACAACCCAATTTTATAGGAATACAAAATAAATGTTATGTATGAAAATACATCATTGATTTATCTGTTCCAAGGGTAAGACTGAGATTATGGAGAATCGGATGAACTAAATAAATATCCATAAACATAATCTTTTGAAATATGACTTTGAGTAAAGTTTGTGCAGCTGAGTGTGTAGTATAGTAACTGAGTAGACTATATTTTTAAAGAAATAATTATAGAAACTAAAATGTTTTAAGTTCTTTATTGATGTCATAATGCTGCTGCTTAAGTGTTGAACTAATTTTTATTCCTATTGATAGTTTTTGTGAGGACACCCCCCTTCCCAATCCTTATCAATTCAACCTTAGGGCAATTTAACAGAAAAAAAAAATTTGCAAGAGACAAAAAGTCACACATGTAAATAAGTTAAAAATCTTAAAAAGTAGAAAAATAAGATTAAATAACTAAAGTTTAGTCAAATAAGAGACGGAAACAACTGAATACTTTCTTGACAGTAAGGACCTCAAAGTTTTTATTTATTTAGATTTAGTTTAGAAAAGAGGTACCATAAAGAACAAGGTTTTATTTTTGCCATTTTAATTTGTCACTGATTCAGTAAACAGAGGTTGAGTACATCCTCTGGGAATTTATGTATCACCTTTCTCTTTAGGGACGTCTTGATGCACTCTGGGCTTTGTTGCGGCGGCAGTACGACCGTGTCTCCTTGATGCGACCTCAGGAAGGAGATGAGGTTTGTAGAATGAAGAAGTGAATGAGTAACAAAAGCTGACATAGTGACTGCAGTGATGGGCTTGATCATGGTGGAGACTGTGAGGATGGTCCAGGACAGGACAGGAGTTTGAGCTGAGTTCATAAGGTTGCTATGAATTATAGTCAGTTTGGTGGCCCTGAACAATAATATCACTCTTGAGGAAAGAACTCTTTTTAATATAGTCAATTCTTATTATATAAAATGCCTAATAGATGATGATCTTTTATTGGAATGTTTCTTTAAATTGTCATTTGGCGTTAAGTCCTTTTTCAAGTAACACATACTAGTTATGGTCATTTGTACATGTGTTTTAAGAAGCCAAATCATTCCTTCAATTACTGACTTAGAGATAATATGTTCAGAGGTGTGGCCAAGTGGAAAGAAAGACTTAGTTGAAGTCTCCATTATTTACTAGTAATAAAGCCTAAGAGAGGGAAATGCCTCAGAAACTCAGTTTCCTTGGATATAAATATATATTTCCCTTTCTCCAACAGTTAACATTTTCTGATTTTATGAATCTTGTGAAACCGTTTTCAAAGTTACAAAGCATTATAGAAGTCTATGATGTTGACGTGCATGCATAACTGTGCAAATAGGCTTCCTTGATGGCAGAAATGTGTGTGTAGTTCTGGTGGCCTAGTGGATAAGGAGTTGTGCAGCCAACCCAAAGGCTAGTGGTTCAAATCCAACAGCTGCTCCAATGGAGAAAGATGTGCAGTCTCCTTCTGTGCCATAATATAGCCTCTGAAAACCCCCTGCAGGGTCAGCTATGAGTCAGTTCTGACTTGACACCAAGTAAAAACAATCATAGATCTGTCTATCTATATGTGTACATTTTTTTTCTCCCACCAAGCAAGCTTATTTAAGGTTTGTTTGGTTTTAGAAATTTGTCTAAAATAACTTTAGTAATTTCCATTAAGTATTAGCACAATTTCCTATTGAAACAATTTAAGACAAAAATATTTAAAATATTTTCTTATATATCAATTAGTGGTCAGAGATACAATACTGCTTCCAATATTTGGATTGTCTCTGAAACAACCTAATCTTTGATAAGAGAGTAAAGTTCATTATTTAGCTTAAGAAGCTTTTAGATTCATCCAAGTCTTATAGGCTATTTTTTATAGGATGAAGTAATCGATGAAATTAAAATTTATCTTGTAACTATCAAATTAAATTATTTGGTATTATAGAATGTGCCATTAGGATGTCAGATTCCGTAACGGTTACCCATGGTGGACAGTGTTTAGTGGAGCACCCAGTTTAAGACAGGTTTGGAAGCAGGAGTGGCTTCTACTTCCTAAACAACATGCCTCGGAAAACTCTATGAACTTTGAGAAATGACGATAGTTATTCAGGTATTTTGTTCATAGGGTCACTATGAGTTGTGCTTGACTCAAAGACAGTCAACACAACAACAATTTTAGGAGTTAAAAATAAAAAAAGTTTATCCTAAGATTTTATTTCTATCTCATAATATGATAACTTGATAACTTCTGAGTTCAATTGTTTTAGAAATATACGATTTGTTTTTCTCAAATATTCCTAACAGATCAACATTTTTCTAAAGGTAGAGAATGAACTGGTTTCAGATGTAGCCTCTTTTATTACCAGATCACAGTGATTAAAAGAAAGTTCATATGTTTTAAATTTATGACTCTTTGAAGTCATGTAAGATCTAAGGTTCTCTTTTTTAGAACAAATGTAACAAGTCTCTTTTTCTCATTAGTATCCTAGGGTTTATTTCACATATTTTAAAATTGTTTTTATGAAACATTCTAGTATTATCCTCCTAAGGTTAGATAATATTTCATCTGTTCAATCATTTCACCTTATTAAATACTTATTTGTGCTAGTGCTGCAGAAAACAGGTAGATATATAGACCTGCCAGAAAAAAGACCTTCAGACCATTTTCTGTATTTTTATAATTACACTCTCTCCACACTTACTCAGTTATTCAGTTCCCAAACTCAGATCATTATGTGAAAATAGGCATTATGAGAAAATGGAAGATGACCACATCAAATCACTAACTACCAAATTCCATCATTGTATAACTGCAAAACTTGTGAGAATCAGCGAAGTTAATACAGAGCGTTCAACCTCATAGTCAGTGTTGTCATCTTAACATTCTTTACTGTTTGCATAAATTCATTCTGCTAATCTTAGCAGCAGACCAGCTATAAGAACCTTTAAGTCAATATTGTCCCAAATGTTTGACCTGCCACCTGCCATATAAGTCCGGGATCTCTGGCATCAGTGGCTCCTCCTTTGTTCAAATTCCTAGCTCTTCTATGTCCCTTGGGTTCAGTGGATTTCTAGAAGATCTCCCAAAGACTCAGATCCATCAGGAGAATGACTCTCGTGAATCTAGGTATGCAGCCTGGGTTTGCAGAAACTGATGAGCTAGGATACTGTAGACTGTCATTGGCACAGCTGCATGGCACCTGTGGATGCTGCAAGCTTGTAGTGCAGACTGGTTGGCATTGCCAGGATCCTGTAGACTGTCATTGTGATGCAGCTAGATGACAGCTTTGGGTGATATGGGCTGGATGCTAATACAGGCGGCAAGTTGTACCCCAGGCCAGAGAGTGTTCCACAAGAGAAAGCACCTAGTGCTGAGGTCCCATCAGTTTATATAAGCCTCTAGTAAGGTGGGGCTTGTATCCCATCCTAATCTTCTCTCCTTATTATAATAATTACTTCAGCACAAAATAAACGGTTAATGATTGGCTAGGAAAGACATCAGAATCATAAACCTTAGACACTCAGAATTAATATAAGATGTGCATAATTAATATAAATAAAACAGTATTTCCTTTCACTTTTGTTGTAAATGTTGGACACTGAAATAGTTGGTAAGTGAGGAGTAGGTGTATTATGATTCAAAGTTAATGTTCAGCTTTTCATCACTCCTATTCATTTTCACTTAATCGTGTAATATTTGGATTTTAAGTGTATACAAATAATGGATCAAGTGCTATTACAAGATGAGTATAAGCAGTAGCCCTTGTTCCAAAGAAGCTTAATAAATGTTTAGCGATAAGATGTAGACACAAATGGTATTCATTCTGTCATGTGATCTACCTGTGTAAGAACTGAATATCACATATTGTTAAGCATACAAAGAAAGAAATGAATTGGTGAAAGCCTCTTAAAAACCGCAGGGATTATCACGCCTTTGATATTGCATAGGATTTCAGCATCTCCATGTCAAAGCAGCAGAACTGCAGAAATAAATAAAGTTAATAAAGTGATTGGTGGATTGCTAACTAGTATGGGTATGAGATTCAAATGAAAACCATAAAGATAGGTTGAAAATAGAAAATGCTTTTGTATTTGGATAATTTAATTTGTTGACTTCATTTCAAATGGTTTATTCACTCACTAATTCAACAAGCATTTATCTGTTGCCTAACATATTTTAGGCACTTTGTTATTTACCAAGAAAATTTGGTATTCTTCTTTATGTCTTAAATATTCTACATGTTCTCTACAGAGTTACGTTGTTATTTTTCATGTTTCAATAATAATTTCTTACATTATATTGATCAAACAAAATAGAAGCTTCATTTTTTAGTAATGTGGATATACTTGTGATTTATATAATTACAAAGCCTTTTAGTCTAACTCTTGGTATTAAATTATTTCAAATTCCGAGGTTTCAGATGGTAGTAATGTGATATAATTCTCATATTATGTAAGGCAGCATTTCAGTTTCATTATTCAGATATCATATTATCAGACATCAATAATTTCAACTGGCTATAGAAGGTCATAGGAAGCTCTGGTAGCCTAGTGTTAAGGATCTGCACTATAATCCGAAGGCTCTAGGTTCAAATCCACCAGTTGCTCTGTAGGAGACAGCTGGGCAGTGTCCTCCTGTGCAGTTTACTGCCTCTGAAAACTTGCTGGAAGGTCGGCCATGAGCTGGTTCCAGATGGATGGTAAGCAACTACAATGTACGTATATCATAACTAGTCTCTATTCAGGTTAGGTCTTGCTTCCAAATGAATTCTGTTCCCAAACTTACAACTTTCAGTTTTCAAAAATTTTGAATTTCAGATATTCAGATAAAAGACTAACACAGAAAACTGAACCAGAACAAACAAAATCCCCAAAATCTTTGCTATTGGGTTGACCCCAAGCCTAGTGATCTTTACAGGAGGAGGAGAATGGGCTGTGAAATATGTAAGTTTTAGGAAACATTAAAACATTAAATTCTAGGAAATGACAATACCAAATTCAGGGTGCCGGCTCCAAGGGAAATGCTTCTTCATGAATGCTGGAGTAAGGAGCCTTGTTTGCTTTGAACTTCTATTCCTCAGTCAAGTTCAGTGGCTTGGCAGGTCTTGTTTTGCATCTCTGCTTGTTCATTTGCTTGTTTAATCTCTTTCCTATTTCAGAAGAGTTTGACACTCTGCAGTAATACTTTGTCATTAACATAATCAAGATTAATCTCCAAATAAGATTATAACCATGGTTATATGAAAAACAAAACCAAAACAACCGCAAGTTTTCAGAGGCTGTAAAATTGCAAAGGAGAAAATGACTCATCTATCTTACTTAGACCAGCTGATCTATTCAAACATCCCACCTTTGGTTTGGCAACCGAACTCCTTACAAACTGTGCCACCAGAGGTTCCTAATCGTTGTTGTTGTCAGGTGCCATTGAGTCATAGACGACTCATAGCGACCCTATGAACGTAAGGCCTGAGCACTGTTCGTCCACAGAGTTTTCGGAGGCAAGCCATTTTAGAAGTGGATGCCGTAGGTATAGAAATTAGCATTGATAACACATATTTTCAGAGGACATAATTGAATCCATAGCAGAAGTTCATTGTCCATCGAAGCAGTTTATAACTTTTATTCCAACTCTACTTTTATATTCAATTTTCTGATTACATTCTAAGGAATTTTTAAATGGTATTGCATAGATTTTTATTAGAGACATTGATTCCCTCTAAAATCATTTGTCTATCTATCACAAATGATTCAT